ATGTATGTCCGTCCGTCCGTCTGTCCATGTTATTTTGTAATCACTCTACAGGTCGCAATTATGGCCCGATCTTCACGAAATTTAAAATGTAGGTGGGGTTAATGTCAGAATAGAAGCCTATTTCTTTTGGAGATGATCGCCAAATGTTTAGGGGTTGAAATGGACCAAATACTGAAAAAATGTCGGATTTTGCAGTAGCTATACAGGTCGCAATTATAGACCAATCGACGCGGAATTTCGCATGTAGCTAGAGTTTAGGGCGGGGAAGAAGCCTACCAATTTGGGTGGTCATCGGATTATATTTAGCGGGTAAAATAGACCATATCTTTTGTATTGAAAAAATTCGAAATTTTTCATTAAACCGCGAATATTTTAAATCCCGGCGAAATCACAAAGCCATGACAGGGTTACCTCTGATCTTTACATTAATGTTAACATCCAACAAATCGGATATATAGCAAAATATGTGCGACATATTTGTCTATCAAAGAAGATATGCTTGAAAGATCTCTTTTATGTCGAGAACGGCTGAACTGATTTCGACAGTTCCCATTAATTCAGAATGGCCTCTTGGCAGGAAAGAAAAAACGTCAAAAAAATCGCATAAAAATATCTCTCTAAAGATGAAAATATTGATTTTGTAAAATTTTCGCACATTTTTTCAATTTTGTCATATTTTTGGCATATTTTCATTTTGAATTAAACATTTGGTAATATTTCTACAGCTAACAAAACTAAGTAGTTAGGATATCAGGATATCACATACAGATCGCATTTATGGCCCGATCCTTACGAAATTTTTCATGGGGATAAGATGAGGGTCAGAAAAGAAGCCTCCTCTTTTTGGAGATGATCGCCATATATTTAGAGGTTGAAATGGACCAAAAAACTGCAAAATTGTCAGCAGGTCGTAATTATCGCCCGATCATCACGCACATTTGAATGGGGGTTACCGGAGATTGCAAAAGCCAAGCAGTTTTGGATGGCCATCCAAAAATATTCAATGTGTGAAATAGTTTGCCAACTTTTGTAGACAAAATACGAAAATGTCCATTCCAGTGAATATTCACAAATACAGGAAAGACGCACTTCTGACTATTTCGTTGAAGAATGTCTGTATCTCATATAGATGCGTTTCAGTCAAAAACCAATAATAAATGTTAATTTTTTTTTGCCACTTCTGAGAGATTATAGGTCTTTGGGAAATATTGGTTCCAGATCTAGGAAGACCATTTACGTGCAACATCTACCAATAAATTGGAAATGAGCAAACTAGTTTAAGTTGCTATTATTCAAAAATTAAAGAACGAAACCTGATTGTCTTTAATTATTTGTCACAATATCTTGTGGAATTCTGTCGAGTATTTCGCCTATATAAACTGTATAGTGTTGTAGGGTATTCAACGGTCGGCCCCGCTCGACTGTAGCCTTTGCTTACTTGTTAAAACTTCATTTTTATACCAAATGGTAAAATACCAAAATGTACGAAATTTAGTGTTTTTTTTTGTACATTTTTGATACGAATTTTTTGAAAATCGAGCCTTATCTGAACCCTACCAACAAACATTGATCCACATGCAAAATGTCAAGATTCTCGCCTGGGACTCATTTTTTACACATTAGTTTTGAACCACCCTAATATCCATTGCTCTAATTCTTTCAATTAGATTGTTTGTTTTTTAATTTATTTGTTTTCAAATATACGAACATGTGTGCGATCTTTTTTCGATATTGCATGCTTAAGACAAAGTGACACTGAAATGAAATTGACGCCAATAGATTTTGATCGTGTCAATTTTGCGTTCACCATCGTTTGTCATGTTTTAATGCACTCGACTCTTCTGTCTAGCTGTCAGCTAGCCAGTCAGCCAGCAAGTCAGTGTCTATGTACGTGGAGACCTTACACCCATCACAGTTGACTATTGAAGTTGTATGTTGAACATCTACAACATCCGCGATTCCATTCTCTCTAGCTCTCCCATTCAGCATTCAGATGACGTTTCGATTGCACCTACGTACAGGTGTTTGGTCGAAATAGTGGCAAACATACATACTTATGTATGCGATTGACTGTATGTGGATTTCTGTGTCTATGACCATTTAAAATAATTAACATGTTCTCTCTTTCGCTATTAATATAGAGTTGCAATAAATTATACAACATGACGAGTAAAAATCTGACAAAGTTACCAATGATCAAAGAAAAAATTTGAAATAATTGAATTGTTCAATATTAGTTAACAGTTTAAGATTCTGAAATTTGTGTTGAATTTTTTATTTGTAAAGTAGAACTAATTCTGTTGGGGTCATGGATTGGTTTTCATTGTTCCAATGTATGTATCATAAAAAAGAGTATCATGATCAAAATCATGCTCATTAATATGTATGAGAAACACTTTGATTTTATTTAAATTTCTAAATCTAAATTTGTATATCCCCATTATCTTTGTGCTTAAATTTCAAAGACACCTGGGCGTTTTTAGGAAAATAAATAAAGATTGGGTTTTAGCAAGAAGCATTTTATAAGGAATATTTGTAGCCATTAAATTAAAAAAATATGACCATATACAAGGTGAGATGAAAAATTGCAACCAACTTCAGACTGCTGTTATTTCTAAGCCGCAGCTCATTTACAAACGTACAAAAGCATTTTAACGAGATTTTTTCAGAAAAAAAGTTATTCGTGATGGAATTCAAGCGTGATAGTGTGATTTTTTTATATTTGGCTGGAAAACCACAAGTGGCTATCGTTAGAACACTCCAGAATTTAAATGTGAATACATTTTTTGGGTCTCGTACCATCGCTCGTTATCGTGATACTTGTAGCGTAGGCCGACGTCAAGGAAGTGGACGGAAGAAAACAACAACATCAGCGGAAATTGTTCGAAAAGTAAAGTAAAGCGACTTGATCGAAACCCGCGTAGCAGAGGCCGAAAAATAACTTAAAAGAGCTAAAGAGTTGTTTCGCTTGGCCGAAAGTGGTAAACTGCCGAATTTGGTTTTATCCGATGAAAAAACATTCGTTGTCCAGCAGTTTGTAAACAAAACCAGTAAAGAAAGTCTTAAAGTCAGGCGGAGCCGACTTTATGATACCCTACACCACTTTGTTAATTAAGTAGAGCTTCACATAACAATTAAAAGTTTTTATGGGAGAATTCAATCATACACGCTATGATTATAATTATAATTTAAAGTTCAAAGGAGTTAATATGCCGAAGCATTTGTATCTTTTGAATTCGGAATTGTATTGCCCATTTGGTGCACAATTAATTTGGAATCGGATAAAGATATATATGGGAGCTATATCCAAATCTGAACCGTTCTCGATAAAATTTGGCAAAGATATTTCTGAGTTGTATTTGATAAATTTCCCTGAATATCGTTGTTACGGAGTGCATATTACGGTTGTGGGTAACAAATATAATAAATCGGATGAATAATATATATGGAAGCTATAGCTATATCTGAACCGATCTTCACCAAATTTGACATACTAGCTTCTAGACTCAATTCGGTCGTAAGTGCCAAATTCCATCCTATTTGGACAAATATTAGACGTTTGGTGCACAATAAAAGGTAAATCGGACGAAGTTATATATGGGAGCTATATCCAAATCTGAACCGATCTCGATAAAATTTAGCAAATGTATTTCTGAGCTGTATTTGATATATTTCCCCAAACATTGTTGTTACAGAGTGCATATTACGGCGGCGTTGGACAAAAATAACAAATCGGATGAATAGTATATATGGGAGCTATAGCTATATATGAACCGATTTCGATCAAATTTGGCATACATATTTAGAGGCCTAATTTGTATGTGCAAAATTCCATACAATTCGGGCTGATATTACAGGTTTGGTGCACAATAAAAGGCAAATCGGACGAAGATATATATGGGAGCTATATCTAAATTTTGACCGATTATCTCCAATTTCAATAGGGTTCGTCCTTGGGCCAAACAAAAGATCTTTGCAAAATTTCATCTGGATCGGGCAATAAATGCGACCTGTACTTTGTTTACGAAAATACATGGACAGACGGACAGACGGACATGCATAAATCGACTCAGAATGTGATTCTATGCAGATCATCAAAAGGAACTATGGGTCTATCTCGTTTCCTCCTGCCTGTTACAAACAAATGCACAAAGACATAATACCCTGACCACCTTGTGGTGTAGGGTATAATGATCGTGTTTACAGCAGAAAATGTGCACCTTCGGTTGACCACCAGAACTCAAGCGCCGTCCATGGTTTTGGTGTGGGCCGCCATAACAGCCGATGGTCGCTCTCCGCTCGTATTAATCGACCGTGGCATCAAAATAAATGCCGAATATTATCGCGAAAATATTCTGGTGGGTGTTTTAAAGCCTTGGGCACGCAAACATTTAGTCCACAGACCTTGGACATTCCAACAGGACTTAGCCCGCGCCACCCAAGAATGGTTACAAAATGGGGTTCCTTTATTCGTTTCCAGTGCACAGTGACTAGCAGCATCTCCAGATACCAATCCGTTGGACTATTGTGCCTGGAGTATTCTGGAAAGCAAGGTTGGCATTAAAAAATACCAAAGTGTCGATCGCCCCAAGCAAGCGCTTCGCCGGGAATGGGCCAAAATACCGCAGAGCAACATTCGACCAGCGTGGGACGGTTTCATTGGCCGTTTGAAGGCCATAATTCATGCCAAAGGTGATCAATTCGAACAAATCTATACTTATTCCAAAATTTGATGCTTCAATACCATTTAAAAAAAAATGTAAAAATTATTGCGTTTGACTTTGTTGCAGTTTTTTTATCTTAGCCTGTATGTTATTCAATGATTTCTTCAGGAGGGTAGACTGCTGATTAAGTTTTACAAATTTTTTATCTAAATATATTTTTTTAAAACGGTAAATTTATAAATTTTGCACAGAAAATGAAGTAAGGACAACTGACTGTTGAAGGGACAACTGACTTTTTTAAATAATTTTCACACATTTCTCTTTCTTCATTTCCAGCGGAACAATTTGCCCAAATTTCTCAACAGGATCCAAATAAAATTGATGCATACAATGATGAAATCAACTTAATAAATTACAAATCTATGACGGGAGCTGAATTGATATGCCGCAATTCGAATTTGAAATTTGTACGGATGGATATATTTGAAATTTCAGAGAAGTAGGTTAATTTTATACTTATTGGCAGTTCACAATTATTTATTTATTTATTTTTTTTTATTTCAGATATCTCACTTTGAACTGTAATGAAAATAAGCCAAATTAAATTTTTTTAAATTTTCGATATCGAAAATATATTCTTTGCTGTAATAATATAACGATGCCATAATAGAGTAATACTAATAATAAATACATCTTTAAAGAATAAAAAATGCTTGTTTCATTTAAGCTCAATTTTGTTTGCCTAATTCTAGTCTTTAACTTAAAAGCCTTATATTTAACTTGGTCAATTGTTTGCATATCCTTCACCATTCTATGGAGGGTATATTAGCTTTGTCATTCTGATTGGTTTCAATTGTGTGATCAATTTTTTGCGATCATCTCCAAACGCAAGAGGCCCCTTGTCTACGATAATTGGCTATATTCGTCAACGAAATCAGCATAAAAAAGCCATAATTTCACCTTTTGTGTATTTCGGATATCGCCTGTAAGTAATGTTGGTATTTTTTCACACAAAAGTAGTGGTCCATTCGACCCGCTGTCCTAACTCTAACTTCATGCGAGATTTCGTGTCTTTTGGTTTCTATTTGTGACCTTTATAACGGCTGCAAAATCAGGAATATTTTTAGTTATTGGCCCATTTCAACCTCTAAATATATAGCGGACATCTTTGAAAACGATAGACCTAGCCCTTCTGAGCCTAACCCTGCCCTTGTGAAAATTTTCGTGAGGATCGGACGATATTTGCAATACTTATATAACATCCCCAACCTGTGTTGTAAGGTGAAAAAATATTACAAAATATTATAAGTCAAATTGAAAAAATCGCATGCGATAAAAAATAAGAAATATCACAAAATACTACAAAATCTATATTAACATCATTATTGGCATCTTTTTATGAGATTTTTTTTTCGATTTTATGCTTTTATGCCAAGAGGGCATTCTGGATTGACAACATTTATCAAAATCGGCCAAGCTATTCCTGAGATATAAGCATTCTAGCTAATATCCCCTTCCTTTGTATATATACATTGTATATATTTGGCTATATATCCGATATATTTACTATCGGCATCTACGTAACGGCCAGAATTGACCATTTCGTCTATTTGTGATTTCGACGGGATAAAAAATAATTGCGGTTTAATGGAAAATTTGACTTTTATTTAACACAAATGTTATGGTCTATTTCACCCACTAAATATTACCCGTTGACCATCAAAATTGGAAGACTTCTGCCCAGCCCTAAGCTCTAGCCCCATGCTAAGTTCCGCTTCGATTGGTCCATAATTGTGACCTGTAGAGCAACTGCAAAAACATGAAATTTTCCAGTTTTTGGTCCATTTCAACCCCTAAATATTGTGCGATCATCTCCAAAAGAAATAGGGCTCTATTCGAGGCGTTACATAATTTTTGGCCCATTCAAACTAATAATAATACCCCCAACACATAGTGTTGTAGAATATAAAAATCCGTAGAAGAATACCTCTCAAAATAAACCTCTTATATGGGGACTATACGGAGACGTATTCCGTCATAAGTATTTCTTTGTCATAGGCTGTAGTACCCATTACGAACTTCAATTATGCTAATAATGTCGCTAAATTCATCAAAATGTCGAATATTGGGAGGTACCCATACATGGGGCAATGCGAAGACGAGGACCTCCATTTGCTATTTTTGTCGAATATTGGGAGGTACCCATATATGGGGCAATGCGAAGACGAGGACCTCAATTTGCTATTTTTATTATTGTAGTACCAACCACGAACTTCAACTGCGAAATTTAAAACAATTCCGGTAAATAATGTCACTAAAATAATCAATATAACAAATATAGGGAGGTATCGTTAAATGACGTCTACACAAAGACGAGGACGTGCATAGACACTTTTTTGTCATAGGCTGTAGTATCTATTACGAACTTAAAATAAAAAAATTGAAATTATTCCGGTAGAAAATATCGCTAAAATATATTGGGAGGAACCTTTATATGGGTGCTATATGAAAACGTGGACCTACATGACCCATTTAAAAACTTAACCTGCCCACTGGCAAAATACACATACGTGCAAAAATTTATGCTTCTATCTCAATTCGTTCGAAAGATAGCCTGATTATAACATACACACATAAAGATGGACATCGACTTAGAATTTACGCTGAAGAAAAATATACATACTTTGTTGGGTCTGACATGAGTATTTTGAGGAGTTAAAAACGGAATAGTTAATAAACCCTCCATAGTATGGTGGAGATTATAAAATACAAAAAGGTACAAAATTCTGTAATACTTTTATTGGTTGAACGACAAGAAAAAAAAATAATAAAAATAAAGGGTTTACCACTTGTGTAGATGGGTGATATGGGATTTTCTTCAGTCCGTACTTTAAGGGTAAACGAGTGGGTTCGTTGCAGAGACATTTTTTCGACGTTAAAATATATTCGGTATTGTGACGATTTTAGGTAAAATATTTTCGGTGAATATTTTACGTAAAATCGTCACAATGTTTCAAATTTCGTGTTTGAAGTTCCTAATAGGTACTACAGCCTGTTACAGAAAATTGTCTATGCGGGTCCAGGTCTTCGTATAGCCCCGATATAACGGTACCTCCCTATATTCGGTATACTGATGATTTTAGCTACATTATTCGCATGATTTTTTATTCAAGTTCCGTATTTGAATATTGTAATGGCTTATGATATAGGTAGGTGATATAGGTATAGACCCCAAAATAACGGTTATTTAATATATTTTAAAGATTTTAACATCGTTTTTAACGGATTTTATTATTTTTTGTTATTTTCCAAATTCGTTCCAAATGGTGGAGGGTATTTAAAGTTCGGCCCGCCCGAACATACTGCTTTTTTTCTTGTTGTGTAGTTCGAAGGTACGCATTTCCAGGGTTCGAACGTGAATGAGTTGAAAAAGTGAATTCTGCAATAAATGTGTATGTTTATGACATCGTCTATGAAAAGTATTTAATTTTATAGAACCACTTTTATGTGAATCTTATCACGAGAAGGATGCTAATGTAGTTGACTTAACATGGTTATCGGCGAGTAGATAAGACCAGTTTTTTTTTTTAATAATGGCTACGATGGTAAAATTGGTACCATAAACCCAAAAAGTTCTAAACCTTGTCGGGTGTTAGCTTGGTCCAAATTTTGACGAAATTAAACAATTTCTTACTTTTAAAATCGCTTGATATTTTTTATTGCTGACTAGTGAATATTTGCCACAGATATGACACAACATATGTAAATGAAAAAAAAAAAAACGTCATTTAGCGATGTTACAAAAAACATTAGTCCTGCCCATATTTGTTTTAATTTATTAAAAGAATTAACTAAAAAACTTAACGAAAAAAATCTCAGAACAATAGTAATTTGTTAAGAACATACGTTTTTTGTGACCAATATCAATTGACCTCAAGACAATTTGTTTAAATTTCAACGTTTTTCTAGTAGGAAAAACCAAACTCAAATGAACATCTGTGCTATTCTAAGTTTTGTTTGTGTTGACTGGGGTAGAATTTGTTATGTCCTACACCAGAAGAGACTACTATTTTGTCTTACTTGTTTGTTTCTCTTTCGAGACGAACTTAATTACACCGGACAACACAATTTTAATTAATTACAGAATGAATCCAGCTTATTGTAAATGTGTGGCTAAATATAAAAGACATGCGTTGTGTCTTTTTGATCCCTTTTGTCGACATAGATTGAAAACTCCACTTAAACGAATTTCTTCTTAAAATTTCCATTAATATATAAATATTATATAAATATCTTAACTAAATGCAAAATAGTCATACATATTTATAAATATTGGGGCTAAATGCAAAATAATTATTTACTCTCTTCACTTTATATGAGATATGTGATAATTATTAGAAAATGTTAAAATGTGAGTGAGGTACCAGATATAGTCGACCGAAGTATACCATTTTCATACATTATCTAATACATATAAAAATATTGGTATGGGCATTACAGGAAAATCGAACATCCAATTTTATGCGAAATCATAAATTCCACACTCATCTCAGGTTTCTGGTTGAGAGAAATATTTGGATATAGCAATTTATAAAGAATCGATGACTTTTTTCGCAATATATGACAAATAAAAGTATTAAAAATTTTGACCCTTTGTGGGGAGGTAACAGAAGGAGTGGACGATATATCCCATCTTCACAGCAGATCTTGTGAAGACGTGTGAAGTATGAAGGCAAACGGATGCATATGTCGGATTTTATAATCGTTTTGGTTATTTAAAACTTTCAAATTTGTGGGGGATATACCAGAAAAAAGGGTCTGAACTCGACCATCTTTCTAACAGATCTTATTTTGATAGAAATATTGAAATGTGCAAAGTCTGAATAGATTTGGATGTTAATCTGGAGTTTTATGAGCTACATTGATATTCAAAATGTTGACCCTTTGTGGGGGAGGTAACAGAAGAAATGAACCGATATATCCCACCATCACAGCAGATCTTGTGTTAGTGGAAAGTATGAAGGCTACAGGATGCTTATTTCGGATTTTATAAACGTTTTGGTGATTCATAACTTTGACTCTTTGTGGGGGAGGTACCAGAAGGGATGGTCCGATCTCTACCATCTTTATAACAGATCTTTCGTTGATAGAAATATTGGGAAGTGCTAAGTCTGAATGGAATCGGATGTTAATTTTAAGTTTTATGAGCATCATGGATGTTCAAAATTTTGACCCTTTGTGGGGGAGGTACCTGAGGGAGTGGACCGATATATTCCATCTTCACAGTAGATTTTGTATTGGTAGAAATTATGGGATGTGTGAAATATAAAGGGAACATGATGCTTATTTTGACCGTTTTGGTTATTCAAAACTCTGACCCTTTGTGGGGGAGGTATCAGAAAGAATGGTCCGATCTCTACCATCTTTATAATAGATCTTGTGTTGATGGAAATATTGAGATGTGCCAAGTCTGAATTGAATTGGATGTTAATTTTGCGTTTTAGGAATTTCATGGACATTGAAAATGTTGGCCGCTTTGTGGGGGAGGTCCCAGAAGAAGTGGACCGATTTATTTCTTTTTCACACCTTTTTCTTCCGTTAATAAAAATATTGTGATCTGTGTAATTTGAAGACAATGGGACTCTAACTTCACATTTTATAAGAATTAAAATTATTTTAAATTTTGGCCCTTTATGGAGGGAGGTATTTG